ACACACACACACACACACACAGCCCCAGCATGCATGTGGCCCCAGGACACATATACATACACGCGCAAGCACACACACACACACACACACACACACACACACAGCCTGAGCATACACGTGGCCCCAGGACACACACACAGCCCCAGCCCACACGTGGCCCCAGGACACACACACACACACACACACACACACACACAGCCTCAGCACACACGTGGCCCTAGGGCCCACACACAGCCCCAGGACACACGTGGACCCCGGGCTGTCTGCCAGCACTACAGCACGGGACTATTGGGGCTGGACTCAACAACCCCATGAGGAGACCTGCCCAGGAGAGTTATAATCAGATGCAAATGCTCTGTGTTTAGGCACAGCCCACGGCTGTGCATCTGGGGAGCACAGGAGACATTAATCATTGGAAACTGTAATTTTTGTTATCAGTCTAACACTGATCAAAAGGGAAGCCTGTCTCCACCGCTGACCTGTGAAACGTCCCAATTATGCTCTTTGGAAATGACAGGGGCACTTAACTCCCGAGCTGAGCAAATGACGACGATCAATCACGTTTGAATAACAATGAGCCACGGACCTGAAAATTATTTTTGTATAGAATCTACCCAGGAATTTATGAAAGGTGGAGAGCAGCCCAAGGTTTTAGGGCTTACGTTCCGGCCGGTGCAGTGCGTATCAAACACTAAACAGAATTTATGTGTTTTAATTTTCTAAAAGGTGGATGTGGACGGGGTGCTACAATGCAGCACACACAGTGCCAGGGTTTAAATATGGGGGTCATTTTCATAAAATATTATGCTTACTGCTCACACCCTTGAATTTCACTGAGGACTTTTATCAAATTTTCATTTTCTAAAAAATATTCAACTGCTCAGCTAACTATTAGGAGTTATACCTTCTTTCTCCCCAACTAAAATCATTTATTTCTGTGATTAAGTTTGAAGTCCTAGGTTCCTCTGTGTCCTCAAACAAGCACTGATCAGGCCCGGGCTTTCTGCTCTCCCTCTGCAGCTGCTGGCCGTGCCCTAGGAGGCCTCTGCCTCTGGGAGACCCTGGGCTTCGTCCTGGGCCACAGCAACCACGTCACCCACACCTGCACTTTACTTTTCAACTACTCAGAGGCAGTAACACGCGAGCTACAGCAACTAGAAGTTAGAGACTTCACTGCTGATACAAGTTGGCACAAAAGCATCCATTTTCAAGTTTGACTTCACCTCTGTGAGCAAGAGCTGCCGCTCATCCATGAGCTCCATTGCCCTGGACAGGCAGCAACACACCTGCGTCCAAAGAGGCAGGGACAGCTTTCAGCTGCCAGCTGCCAGGGTACTTGAGTGACCTGCTCTGAGACAAGAACACCATGGTGACAAGCAACAGCCCCCTCTCAGACCTCAGAAAGCGGCATGGCCCAGGGAATCTAAGGCCTGTGGAAGACTCCCTTTGAGCACTTGGATTCTAAGAGACTAAATAATCCAGTGAGCTCAGCCACAGCAGTGGTGACCTGCCTTCAAGGTCACAGATTAGGCCAGACAGAAACCGCACAAGGGGGGCCCGCGGCACCACAGCACCCCACTGCGGGGCTGTACAGGGGTGGCTGGACAATGGAGGTGCAGGGAAGGAGTTCACTCCCACCGAGAGCTACAGGGCGAGGTCAGACCTGTGACCTGCTCCAGGGCAGCTGGCTTCCACCCACCTGGGAGCTGAGATTCTCCAACTGCCAGAAAACAGCATGCAGAGGACCCAGGGGAGAAGGAAGGAAGCCTGACAGGTGAAGTCCTCGGTGCCTGGGAGGGGCCAGCCGGGAGCCTGAGCCTGCAGCCAATTGGAAGCCTTATCCCAAGCCAGCTCCAGGGACAGCCCAATCCACCTACTTGGCAGAAGCTTCTACCCAAGGCTGTGGCCATGGGGAGGCCACAGAGGGGGACACTGCTGGTTTTATACAAATTGATTCTCACCCACAGTTAAAAGGATTTAGAAAAATGAGTCCCCACCATCATAATTAAACAAGCAATAAAACCACTAAAATATACAGCGCAATCAGTTTACAGAAGTAGGGGCAGTGAGGTTGCTAATTATTTGCGAAGGAATGGGAAGAACAGCTTGGTGCCCAGAAAGCGGGTTGCCCACCAAGCCCCACGGCCTGGAGATACAGCTGGGACCATTAAATAAATTTTGTACCATCTAATTAACTTGGTGCGCAATCTCAATTACTTTTCACCCAAGAAATCACTTTTGTTCAGTTTTATGTGTGTCTATTTCCCTTTTAAAAAAAAAAATGATGTAAGGCCTCGTCAGACAAGTGAGTTCCAAACTGCATTTGTCTCTCAGGGCTTGATGGCTATGCATTTAAAAACCCATTCTATCTTATAAACTAAAAATTAAACGTGCTCAGCTGTGATGGTCGGCACTGCATCTGCTATTTATATGCTAATGCCCTCCCTGGAAGGCCGTGCAAATTGCCGGCCAGGCCAATATCTCATGTGCATCTCCGACTGCCAGGGACGCACTGTCAGAGGACAGAGGGCGGTCGCACCACTGACCAAATGGACACCCCAGGAGCAGGCCCCTCATGGGCAATGGCACCAAGGCCAAGTCAACCTGCTTGGACATGGGCAGGGCACCAGGAGCACACTCTCCTGAGCCGACCACCACCTTCTGACACAAGCACCTCCGAGGCTGACACTCAGGGACCTCACACCCACACACAGCACAGTGGCAGGCACTTCCCCTCCTCAACTGACCAAATCAGGAGTCAACCTGCCCTGGAGACTGCCAGCATGCACAAGGAGCACCCAGGGCCCAGGGGCCAAGAGCCTCATCCAGCTGGGGGCAGGTGTGAGGCAGAGCCCCTGGATCATGCGTGCATAGAGTGTTTCTAGAGTAAGGGTAGGGCCGAAATCTCCGCTGGGTGAAGACAAGCGGCCAGCCAGAGGCACACACTTCTGTAAGCCAATGAGGGCTGGTGGTCCACACAGACTCCCTCCCGTGGGTGGCTGGACTTGGGCCAGGACAGCTGGTTTTCCTGGGAGTCTGCACCACAGGTATTCCTGCACAGGGGCGGTGTGAGGGGCACAGAGCAGGAGGGTCATCACGGGTCATTTGGACCTTACAGAAACTCACATTGGACCCAGTGGAGGACAATCGCCTCATGGAGCAACCAACGTCTCCATATCTAGTAGCTCTGGCCCCCACGAGCTCTGTGGAGACAGCTACTCTGGCAGAGGATGAGGAAGACCCAGACTCACCCACTCTGGGGCCCGTGGCTCACACAGTCCCACACAGGCATGTGAAAGGCCACCTGCTGCAGCCCAACCTCCCCAGGCAGAGATGTGGCCAGCAGGCAGCCCCTGGGGAGCAAGAGACCGTGCTCAGAGGACAGGCATGGGCGGGGAGGTGTCAGGCAGCCTTGCCTGGCATCCAGGCAAGGTCTTGGTCTTGGCAAGGAGGCCAGGCCCACAGAGGTCCCCCATCTATAAAATGGGGGTAACAAAGCAATCCACCCCAGGAAGTGTCTTCTGGAACCCAGGGGACCAGGCGTGGGCAGGCTGGAAGGGCACCGGCTGGCTGGGGAAGGTGCCTGGCTGAGGTGGCCTGCCATGGGGCCAGTGGGAGGGCAGCCAGGCCCAGCCTGTCCTTTCAGAGCCTGTCCTTTCAGAGCACCAGCGCACCCGCCCCTCCCCCGGCACCCTGGGAGGCAGCGTGGCCTTCAGCGTGATGGAAGGAGCCGGATCACCCAGGAAGGCTACAGACGGCGGCCGCCACGGCAGAGGCTTCCTGGAGGCGAAGCTGATTGACCGTCCCTGTGCGTGTCTGATGGGCCAACATTTCATTCCCTGGGCTTTCTGATTCTGTCCTCCTCACCTAGGGAACCAGCTGCTACGAGGGCTTGGGCAGCAGCACAGGAAGCTCCCGACCCCACAGCCAGGGGGAGAGGCTGGCAGCTGGGGCTGGAGGCAGGTCGGTGAGGGCAAGGCCAAGCCCACCTGCTGGCCAGCGACACAGGGGAGCCCGCAGCCTGACCACAGGGAAGAAGGCAAAGCACTGCCCACAGGGCCAGGCGACAGCGCCTCGGAATCACTGTTCTCTGACTCACTCGTTGGTGGGAAATTAGTATTTTGTTAATTACACAATAAGAAAATAACCGTTGATTCAAGCACATAATTAAAAGCAGGCAATTTAAAAGTTTTCAAAGGATCTTTATCAGTTTAACGGACGAGGCAGCTGGATCATTACAGCCCGCCTGAAACAGAGCAAGGTGGAAACTAAATCTACCCAATGACCCTCCATATTGATCCAGCCACGATTCACCCCCGTCTGCCCCACACGGAGCCGACACGGAGACACTCTATCAGACAGACACTTAAACATATTTAAACTGGCTTACGTATTTTTCTGAGGACAGAGCACCTATGTCAAAAGGAAAACAATACTATGTAGACAACAGGCGACAGGCAGAAAGAGGACCTGTGAAACAGACTGCAGCGGGTTGCAGGCAGGCTGCCCTCCCCCTACCCCTCGGCGCTGGGAGTGCCCAGGGCCTGGCGGTGGCCACTTGGCTCTGAGTGGGCGTCATGTCTGTCTCAGTCTCTCACGTCTGTCAGAAGTTCTCAGATGTCTGAATCACGCATTATTGAATTAGTGCTCCCCACCTAGCCTGTTCTACACGCGGAGTTAACGATGCCAATCCCATGCTAAGTGGGGAAACGTAAGGGAAACAATTTAAACCCTTCGTAAATTTTATTTGAAAATTAGTGAAGAACACCTCATTCATAATTTCTAATTAAAACAGCTCTAATTAACACTGATGTTCATTAGCTGCTTCACCCCTGCCCAAGCCGCTGCGGGTGCTGCAGCTCTGCAGGGAGGGCCGCCAGCACGAGGGAGATGGGCAGATAGGCCTGCCTGCGCTGGCTGCCGCCTCTATTCTGGGAAGCGGCTCACCTGAGCCTAAGCGGCTGCAGCCAGAGCCCTCCAATCACTCCATCTGCGGGCGGCTCCTCTGCCGCTGCGCGAGAAACCTCTGAGGATTTCAGAGTGCCTTTATTAGGATCAGTGTGTGGAGAGGGTCCAGAAAGTGTCCCTTCAGCTGACAGCAGAGTGACATCTGTCTTCCCACTGAAGCTGGGACACCATCAACCTTGCAGGGCCTGATAGGCCCTGCGCACTCACAGGAGCCCCGTTCTCCTGAAGAGCAGCCTGGGCAGGAGTCTACTGACCAGACCACGTGGCCAAAGGACACCCGCAGCCCCTCACTGCCCATGCACAACACCCTGTGTGGCCCTGCCCTCCAGCAGCAGGTCCTGCAGGCCCTGGGCAGAAGTGGGGATGAGTCATCTACTCTGACAGTATCAAAGGACACACTGAGTGGAGTCAAAGCAGGGCCAACAGCCAGAGTGTACAGTGGAAGGCAGGGGCCATGCAGTGGCCTGAGGCTGTGTACCACAGAGGGCCAGGTGGACAGCTCCGAAGGGCTGGATTTGGGACTCCAGTGTCCACAGCCCACGAGAGCTTCAGGATGGGCCCTGTGAGCCACAGCCAGAATAGAGAGGTAGCTACACCAGTGGGCCCAGTCCCATTCACCCACCCTGGGACACAGCAGACCTGAGCACCAGCATCTGGAAGGGACAGGGCAGCTGGCAGGAGTCCAGGGCAAGCAGAGGTCAAGGAAACCAGACCTCCTGGGCCTGCGGAGGGAGGAGGCACACGGCCAGGCGTGGCTAGGACTCAAGTTTCCTCAAGCACATGGCAAAGTCAGCAGGTGTGGTGGGGCCAGGACACAGGCTACCTACCACGCAGGACAGCCTGACCCTCTGGTGTGCCAGAGACACCAGCGGCAGCAAGAGCCGGCTAAGCTTAGCTCAGAGCCCCGACCCCTCACCACAGTGCAGGCTGAGCAGCCAGCAGCCCTGGGAAAGACTTCCGGGGACCCTCCCCTAGTCAGCCGCACCTGCGGGAGGCACCGTGGGGCTCCGAGATGAGAGCAGGGGCAGCAGCTCTCCAGGGGCCCTGCTGACAGAGCCTCAGGCCAAGGAGAGCAGCCAGCTGCTGTGACCCTTCTGGGCTCAGGTCCTGCCACCTTCAGCACTGCCACTAGCCCCAGAAGACCATGCAGGCTGATCATACCTAGGCCTGATGAGAATGGACCCCAGCAGCCCGGGAAGCCTGTAGACATCCCCAGGACACCAAATGTCCAAGGACATCCTTGCCACAACCAAGGCCATCAGCAGCAAAATGGCCATGGGCTGAGCCCTGGACAGCACGAGTGCACACCACACAAGGCAGCCTCCACACTCAGCATAGCGCTGGGGGCCCACCTGGCCTTCACTCTGCACCCAGCACTCTGGCTGCTCGGAGTGCTGGTGCCCTGCGGTCTAGAGTAATCTCCTCTGACTGAGTAGGTGACAGGCACCTTCCTCCCACCAGACAATTATTTTTCACCGTAAATATATTTTGGTCAAAACTGACAAAGCTGACTCCTTCAACAAGCAGCATGCCACACACAGTGGACTCTAGTGAGGCAGAACGAGCGCCCACAAAGACTCCTGTCCCTAAGCTGCACGGCGCAGACTCCTGGGGTTTGCAGGAGAGAAGCAAGGTCGCCCTCTGGTGGGCCTGAGGGCCACACACGGCCTCCACAGCCAGGGATCTCCCAACGGCTGCTCAGGTAGGGGTTCCTCCTCTCGGGTTCCAGAACTTCTGGCACTGCATTGCCACCCCAGGTCTGCTGCCAGGGCACAGTATGGTCATACCACACAGGGCAGGGCACCAGGGATGCCAGCCACAGCATGAGCTGACTGAGCTCAGCTTAGAGCCCTGACCTGGCGGCTGCATGCACATTCACCATTGGTGGGCAACACGTATGCCCACTCCTGGTCTGGGCTCTGCGTGGCCTGCAACTTCATCTTTTTCTTGGCAAGAAACAGAGTTCTTTCCACCTCAAAGCTACCTTTGAAAAGGGGGAGGTTCTGGGCTGGGACTGGGGCTCAGTGGCAGAGCACTTGCCTAGCACGTGTGAGGTGCTGGGTTCAATCCTCATCACTGCATACACAAAATAAATAAAAAATAAAGTTATTATTTAAAAAAAGAAGTCTACCTTCCCCGGGCCAGGGCTGGCACCCTCTCCACTCAGCTGGGTCTGGTTCTGGGTTCCCCAGGGACCCAAGGAGCGGTGCATCTGGTGTCTATTTTCTCAGCTTCTCTGAGAGCAGGTGAGAGACCAACCAAAGGCAGGAAGATGGCATCTGCATGTGACAGTTCTCTTTCACAAGGCACAACAAGCCCCAGTGCAGCATCCTCTCCCTGCCACAGCCCCCAAGCATCTCTAGGCAGGAATACCACCCTCACTTGCTCTCAGACTGCTACAAACTCACCTGCCTCCTCCAGCCAGCTCCAAGGCATCCAGTGCCAAGGACCTTGTGCTCCAGGGTGGATGCCTGGCTACACCCTAGCCCACTGCCTGGAGGCCCAGGCTCAGCGTCCAGTCCTCCCTCAGCCTGCCTGTGGCTCCCACCTCTCAGCCCCATCTAGAGACCCTGCCCTGCTCTGGTGGCATGCGGTTGCTCAGGGAAGCCCAGGAACCCCTGTTGCCTCTCCAACCACAGAGGGCCCATTCCTCTCTCATCAATGCCATGGTCCCTCCCAGGCTAAGGTGCTACACAGTCCAGCAGACGGCTGGTCTTTGAGTCTCCATCCCCAAAGTGGGCACCCTGCCCCAGCTCACCGTGGTGCCCATCAGTACACAGAACCCACTCTGCTGGAGACTCCACAGAAGCCCCATCCTTCCCTAAGCAGGAGGGGCACAGCCTGACTTGCAGGGCTCCCTGGCTACAGTGCAGGGTAAGTGGACAACACCCAGTAGCAGGAGCCATGTTGCCACTATATAGTGAATGAGCTCACATGTCCACTATGGGGCGGGCCCTGCTGGGCTGTGGAGCATGTCCACATGTGGAGTATGGCTGGGCTCTGGCACCAGGAGACGCCAGTCGGGCTCCCACTGCTAGGCCAGCAGAGTGAGAGAGGAGCCTGAAGCAGCTCCTGCTTGCACAGGCAGCTCAGCCCGGCCCCAGACCTGCTGGCCCACCACGCACACACACCTCCCTCCTCCGCCCCGGACCTGGACCTGCCGGCCCACCACACACACACACCTGGCTCCTCCGCCCAGGACCTGCCGCACACCACGCACACACACCTCGCTCCTCCGCCC